TACCGACAACCACAATCAACCTTCATTTGTCCCCGGCCACCACCGGAAGGCGTTGATTGCAATCTGCCGAACCTTCTGCCAGATGTAAAGAGCTCGGTGCTTTTAATCGTACTCATCACCAAATCAGTCAATTATTGCTCAGTATGCGTGAACTCGTTTCCCAAGTAACTTTTATACTCGAACCTGCTTCATCTGCAACACTAGTGAGTCGCATAAGCCTCACTGCACACTGTAATTCTGCGTCTCCTGCTACCACTTGCCCGTATTACATTTTTACCCCACTACACGTATGATCCGACGTACCTTCTCCCGTATTATTCGCATGGACTTCCAAATACTCTATGGGGCCTACGTCAGACCGCTCCTGGAGTACGCCAACTAAGTTGTCTACTCAGGACGTACGAAAGACGTTATCCTCATTGAGCGTGTCCAGCGGGCCGCCACGAGAATTGTTGCCGGCCTCAAGTCCGTGGACTACGAAACGCGTCTCGCGACGCTTGATCTCTTTCCCCTGGAGTGCCGTCGCCTCCGAGGGGACCTAATTCTTACCTACGCCTTGTTTGAACAAAGCTTGGCAAACAGGTTTTTTACCGTTTACCCAGCAAACACCCGGCGGGGACATAGTAAGAAAATCTTCAAGCTCAGGGCACACACATTCATTAAACAAAATTTTTTTTCATTTCGGGTAGTAGCTGCGTGGAATGACCTTCCTCCGACGGTTGTCCATGCTCCTTCTCGAACCCAATTTAAAGCACTATTAGACATTTATTTATGCAAATCCTCGCGCTGGCGAGCATACTGCCTCGCGCTGAGAACATAAAGAGCAGTGCTACACCCTTTTTTCACTTGTGCCTTTCAGGTGAACGACAGCCACTGACCGACAAGAACAAAACCGACCCGGAAACTCGGGCAAAAGCCTCGATCCTGTGTATCAATCCGTGAATCCGTGAAAAACTCTGTATTGGTCATTGGCCTCCTGCTCTGCCCACTATGGTATATCAAAAGGCATGGTAGCTTCGCACAACCCTTTGTGGAGACAGAGGGAAATTATTATAACCTTATTTATGGGGCAATGGCAGAATGTTCCACAAGGTCGTGCTAGAATCTCCGCGAGGGTGTAAGAACCGTCTTGCAAAGGATGGTCGATCCAGATTGGCTGGCATTATGACCAATCACCGTATGGCTTCGATTGATCCGCAGCCTGCACGTGTGACGTCCGTCCAAATGATGTAATGGTCGGTTATCAAGGGCAGCTGATCTCCGGACACTAAGTTAAACGGTCACTGACAGGTGATTTCGCCTCTAATCTTGAACACATAGGGTAGGAGTAGTCAGCACCAGTGGCTTGGTGAGGCGAAATGATCTCAGTTCTTCCGGGCATTTCGGAAAGCTTCGAAGGCTATAAGTTTGTAGTCAGGAGCCCGGTTGGACAGCTGCAACTAGCTAGTTGAATTGTTTTTGAAAATGTCCAATCCTACAACTCAGGTGCCCTTAGAGATTAGCAGGCGATTTTACCAGTTGTCCTACTCGTCAAATGCTTCTTTGGCGTGTGCCTACAAGCTGGAATAATTCACCCACATTCCCAGAGTTTCTGTCCTGCTCGATCCCTTCAGATTCCTGCACGCACTTCTCCGTCTGCACAAATGCTCTTTTTCATACAAGGTTCAATAGTTCATCTAGTGGAGTTGTACGACTCCTGGTACGTACCAGGTCGTACCCTTTCACCAGCTGAGCGCCCAGCATTTTGCAGAGGTGCAGACAGTATCTTTCAGTAACTGTCAACACAGATTTATCGTCCGGAAGGAGCTTGAATACTGGTTCTGGTACGCTTGTTCCACAACAGGATGCAAGAGCTTCCTAATCACCAGGCAAGAGGGGCGTATCTTGCGCGCCCCTAAAAAAGCAACGAGAAGCAGCAGCGAACAATCCCGTTATCCGAATCCACATAGGTGTTGCAGAGCGAGTGACAATTAGTAATCGCCCCAAGCCACATATAGCAGATGGCTATGTGGTGTATCCGTGTTGGAGGTTGGCTCTTATACAAAGGACACCGTGTGACCAAACGGTTATGGTCGAGTACTAATTGCATTTGTCTGTGTCCATCAACCGCAGTCCAAAAAGACAACCCCATTGAGCTTCATTGGCACTAAGGCTATCTTGCGCGATCGCAACTATGTCTGAGCTCTTAGTCCGCTGCAACAAGGCGCTCAAAGTACATTAGAAGCCGTCTTTTACTACAACAAGAGGTTCAACAATCGGGCGAGGGAAAAGTGTGTGAAAGAGAAAGAAGGGCAGTGTTTCAGCTTACCCGCGCTGCCATACGATAAGGCGACCGGGCAGTTAATATTATGGCAGCCGATGTGGCGTGAGATTATTTGTAGATGTGCAATTCATTTTTATACTTGGGATGAGATACTGCCAGGTTGGCCTTATCTGTACGCCGGTTGGATCCGTTTGTTTAGTAAGACGGAAAGTAAGAGCTGTGTAGGAAGGCTTCGACACAGCGATGTCTGTCAGAGTCACTAACCGTTCACTGGTCTCATCCCTTGTCGCCATCCCAGGAGACGGCAGCTGTCAACATCACAGAGAGACTGGTAAGGGCTTTCGTGCTTTGTTGTCTAGTCATCGAGTGACCGCCTCCCGGGCATCTTCATCCGAGAAAGAGTGCTCTACGAGACAATCGGTTATCCGCTGTATGAGGTGCATGTCCTCAGCTTGATCAGCTGATCCGTCGGCGGAGAGTGGACTCTCAGCAGTACTGGTATAATGGCAATATTCCACGAGACCCGCGCAATGCTTCAGAAGCACCGGTAGTCGAATACGGACTTTCCGAAGATCTGCCCGCATTGGCCACTTCTCTGATCCATAAAGTAGTACAGATCGGACTGTGGCATTGTGCACTGTATTCTTGACAGTCGAGCTGATGTCATCTCGGTGCCAAAAATATCAGAGGCTCAAAAACGCTACCCTGGAGTTCCCAATCACGGAGGTGGTTCGTTTTTCATCACTTCCCGGGCCTATGCAGTTGCATACATAGAAGAATTTACCTATCAAACTGATGGTTCATTTGCAAGCATGAGGTTTAGGTTTGATCCCATCTGGTCGTGCATACCGAGCTCTGCGGCAGAATTATTACGTTATTTCAAATGGGTTTCACTCTCAATGGGTTTGATCCAAGAAGGTCGCTATCGTCGGCATATTCAATGTATGTTAGCGAACACTGGTAATACTTCGATCCCCAGGATGCTGAAGGAAAGTAAAAGGTATTTCAGCATTATGTCGATTCCAAAGCTGAGGAGGAGGGATGATAAATGGTATTCTTGTCTGGCACCTTGGATTGTGGTGAACTCAGGAGATACACGTGGGTGCGTGCGCCTCCATGGGAGGAAGTTTATAAATCTATTATGAGATAAAAATTAAGAAAAAGTCCTCTTTATCCCCAGACACTGTCACAGTTTCAGTCAATCGACGGAATCAAAAGCCCATTTGAAGTCGAGAAAGACTATCATCATTAGCCGTTGGAAGGAGTGGGGCAGTTTCAGTAATTGTAGAAATGTGAAGATGTGATGGATGTAAACTTTGTCGGGACGAAATCCAGCTTAATTCTTATGAAACTGGCTATCCTGGTGATTGTTCAACATCCACAGAATGATGTCAGAGATCACCTTAGGATCTGTAGTCACTAGACAGATGCCCCGGTGGTTTTCGAATGGTGTTCATCCGCATTTCTTTAAAGTAGAAATAACCGTCAAGGCACTTCATTCTCGGTATTTCTTCATTCCGTATGCTTTGGAGCAAAATCAGCAGCATAATCACGAAACACCCGTCACGGTTTTCGAAGAATGCAAGGCGCACACTGACTGAACCAGGTGCTTTGTTACATTGTATCGATGAAATTGCACTCTGTACTTCCGCTATGGATGTCGGACTGATGTTGACGTTTTATTCGGGTTCGTTTGATCCTCCCAAAGACCGAGGTAATGCATGCCAGCCAAGCTGTTCTTCAAATCGTCTAGCCCATCGTTCGTGATGACGGTCTGTGAATGGATTGGGGAATCACCCTTTTCAGGGGTCAGTTCATTAATACCATCATCGTCGTCATAGAAACCATAACTTCAGTGTTCAACGCCGATGCCTCGCAGCCATATCACCATGATTTATCTGAAAGCCTTATTGTGAAATGAAGAATAGAGGTGAATGGGGAAGGAGCCTAATGCAACTGTAACACAATCATCCTTAGACACACTCAGGCAATCGGGATAGAAACTGACAAGTTGGAACATTATTGACAGATTATCAGCCACATTTTACAGCGTCTGCAACCCGGCACATCATCATCATCATCGACAGCATGACATCAGTGTTCAACATCGATGCTTTACTTGCAACCCGGCACACTAGGAGTCACACCGTTCTGTTCATTGAAGGCGAGTAGCACCGACAACATCCAGACTTCTGATCTCTTTCATACACCTTTACCATCCTCAGCCCTATCTTCGGCAAACGGTGGTTCGACATGCGTAATACATGGTCTAGATAAGGCAGCCTCTGGTGCTGGACACATTCTTGAACAAAATTTCCCGTTGCACAACCGAACACGCTTCCTAGTTGCCTTTTTACAGGTTCACTGACACCAACCAACATGGGCTATGGTTCTAAGACACGGTTGTCGAAGACCTGAAGATGTTCGTGTTCTGCTGCCCGAACAGCCCAAGTCTCACAAACATACAACAAAGCAGCTCGTCCTGCTGCCTTGTACACACATCCACTGGGATTGAGGGATATACCGTTTTGACGCAATGGGTGTCTCACATTAGCAAACGCGATCCGAATCTCGTACATGGATGGGCTAGGCGTTCGTGACAGACACCACTTAGTGTACGGAAGCTCCCGGAGAGCGTTCCATATACTCTCACACTCACGCGATTAAGAGAACTTATTATGTCCACAAATTTCCGGCGTACTTTTAGCTTGGAGTGTGTTGAGGAGAGAGCTCGAGCTGGCTCAGTGGTTAAAGCACGAATTCACTGACCGGAAGGTCCGTGGTTCGGACTCAACCTCTACATCTCGACTGCTCCTGTCTGGATTTGGGCAACCTGGCGGTATCCCAGTCCTCATGCTCCCTTCGAGTGGCATGGAATCTAGTTACAGAAAATGGATTACAGCTGAACGTGTTGAGAAGAATGTGTTAGTTGCGCGAGCTGAATGCGCCTTGGAAATTCGGAAACATTAAAATTGTGGGTCATTCATGCCTATGGAGTTGTTATAATACCTCATCATCATCATTGTCAGC